TTTTTTGTCAGTGGCAGAGGAGAGATATAACCCAGTCAGTCGAAGCACAATTACAAGACGAGTGAGTGATATAGCATCAGAGAAACGGGCCTGGATCAAAACCAAACTAGACAAGACAGACACAGTATCTGTGACTGTGGACATTTGGACAGCATGGGTTTCTAGGGGTAACAGCCCACTTCATGGAGCTAGACAGAAGTTGCCCAAGACTCCAAACTGTTCTACTCAGTTGTGAAAGATTCACAGGGTCACACACTGGTCAAAGGACTAGTGATGCATTCGAAGAAATTTGTGACTACTTTCACGTTAAGCACAAAATAGACTACATAATATGTGACAATGCATCAAACATGAAGAAGGCCTTCACAGTTTGTTTTCCTAAAGCTACAAGTAGTGAAGAAGATGACGACGATGAGCTGGAAAACAGTGACCTCTGGGAGGACCTCAGTGAGGAGTACCAAGATGAAGTCCAAACCATCCACAGCAGTTGCCGGCAGCAACGTCTGCAGTTCTTTGCTCATTCACTGCAGCTTGTTGTGCGAGATGGACTGAAAGAGACAAAATCTCTGAACAATGCAATGGCAAAGGTGACCAAATTCTGCAGTTTGTTACATTCCACTTGCGGGCTAAAAGAAGCATTTGAGGCAGAGTATGGAGCCAACCGCAGCATCCCCTCAGCTGTCTCAACGCGATGGAACAGTACTTTCCGCCTTGTGGAGTCGGTCACTAATTTGGATCTTCTAAGTCTAAATACACTCCTGGAAGCCCAAGGTCATAAAAGCCTGTGTCTATCAGCCAGAGAATGGTTCAAGTTTAAACAAAGGTTTTGTGATGTTTCTTCACATTGCACATTCACAGTGCATTGTTTTGATCAACTTTGATGGTGCAGTGTGCAATAACATATTATAGGCCTATAGTACAGTACAGTACATACTTTTAATCCAAAACAACACAGCAATGCAGTATTATCTCAGATAGCGTCTAATATGAAAACTTTCATTTCAGCTATTTGAGACTTGAGACTTCACTTGGACTTGGGACGAAAGACTTGGGACTTGACTTGGCATTGCCCCTCAAAGGTCATCATGGTGGTACTCAGAGAGATCAATGTTTTCTCAGGTGGTACAGAGTATAACAAGTTTGAGAACCACATAATACAAAACAGAAATGTTTTTGCCATTTCTTTCCAGTTACAGTTCTACAGTTCACGCTGCGTTGGCGTTTCTGATGTTGCACTTATCCAAAATACAGCAGGTTCCGGTGCGTTGTTGCACAGAGAACTGTCTCTCTACAATATTAAGTACACCGTGTACCAGAAAGGTAGGTGTTCAAACAGCCTGATATGACATTCAAGCAAATCAATTTAAAAATTTTAAAATGCCAGCCTCTCGCTTGTCTTTTTTTTCCCCTAAAAGCAAAGCAGGCGCTGCCTCG